CAGGATTTCACCATGTTGGCAGGCTAGTCTGGAACTCCCGACCTCAGGTGATCCACCTGCCTACACCTCCCAAAGTGCTGGGATTACAGGCATGAGTCACTGCGCCCGGCCACCTCATCTTTACTCACACATTTATCTTGGCTATTGCTCTTTCTTCATTCTTTAAGTCCAACGTTTCTTGTTTGTGTCATTTCTAGTAAGCTGAAGAACTTCCTTTAGCAGATCCATTAGCAGAGAATTTTCTTATTTTTTTCCATCTAAGAATGTCTTAACTTTGTCTTCATTCCTGAAAGGTATTTTTACTGGATCCTCAATTCTGCATTGCTAGAGCCTTTCCTTCAGCATGTCAAACATGTAGTTTCCTTCTCTTCTGGTCTCTTTTATTTCTGATAAGAAATTGGTAGTAATCATAGATTATTTTTTAGCTTCTTTCAAATATTTTTCTTCATCTTTGATTTTGAGCAATTTAATTATGATATGTCTGCATGTCATTTTCTTTGAATTTATCTTGTTTCTGATTTGCTGTGCTTTTTGAATGTTTTTTTTTAATCTAGTTTGAGATGCTTTTAGCTATTACTTCCTTAGATTATTGCCCTACATTGATCTCTTCCTCATCTCCCTCTGAGACTGAAAGGATAAGAGTAGTATACCTTTTTATAGTGTCCTATAGGCTTCCGAAGGTCTGTTTGCATTTTTTTCAAACATTGTTTCATTCTTTGAATTGCATAATTTTTTAAAAACTGTCTTCAACTTCACTACTTTTTTTTTAATTTTTATTTTAAGTTTGTGGTACATGTACAGGTTTGTTCCATAGAAAAACTTAGGTCATGGGGATTTGTTGTACAGATTATTTTGTCACCCAGGTGTTAAGCCTAGTTCCCATTAGTTATTTTTTCTGATCCTCTCCCTTCTCTCACCCTCCATCCTCCAATAGGCCCCAGAGTGTGTTGTCCCCCTCTGTGTGTTTATGTGTCCTCATCACTTAGCTCCCACTTATAAGAGAACATGTGCTCTTGGTTTTCTATTTCTGTATTAGTTTGCTAAGGATAATGGACTCCAGCTCCATCCATGTCCCTGCAAAGGACATGATCTGGTTCTTTTTTATGGCTGCATAGTATTCTGTAGTGTATATGTACAACATTTTCTTTATTCAATCTATCACTGATGGGCATTTAGACTGATTCCATGTCTTTGCTATTGTGAATAGTGCTGCAGTGAACACACATATGCATATGTCTTTATATTAGAACAATTTACATTTCTTTGGATATCCCAGTAGTGAGATTGATGGTTTAAATGGTATTTCTATATTAGGTCTTTTTTTTTTTTTTTGAGACGGAGTTTTGCTCTTGTTACCCAGGCTGGAGTGCAATGGCACGATCTCGGCTCACTGCAACCTCTGCCTCCTGGGTTCAGGCAATTCTCCTGCCTCAGCCTCCTGAGTAGCTGGGATTACAGGCACGCGCCACCATGCCCAGCTAATTTTTTGTATTTTTAGTAGAGACGGGGTTTCACCATGTTGACCAGGATGGTCTCGTGATCCACCCGCCTCGGCCTCCCAAAGTGCTGGGATTACAGGATTAAGCCACCGAATCACCACACTGTCTTTTGCAGTGGTTGAAACAATTTACACCCCCACCAATAGTGTATAAGCATTCCTTTTTCTACACAACTTTGCCAGCATCTGTTAGTTTCTGACTTTTTGATAATAGTCATTCTGACTGGTGTGAGATGGTATCTCATTGTGGTTTTGATTTGCATTTCTCTAATCATCTGTGATGTTGGGATTTTTTTCAAATGATTGTTGGCCACGTGTGTGTCTTCTTTTGAAAAGTGTCTGTTCATGTCCTTTGCCCACTTTTTAATGGGGTTGTTTTGTTTTCTTGTAAATTTGTGTAAGTTCCTTATAGATGCTGGATATTACACCTTCATTGGATACAGGGTTTGCAAAAATTTCCTTCCATTCTGTAGGTTGTCTGTTTACTCTGTTGATAGTTTCTTTTGCTGTGCAGAAGCTCTTTAGTTTAATTAGATCCTGTTTGCCAATTCTTACTTTTATTGCAATTGCTTTTGATGTCTTTGTCATGATATCTCTACCCATGGGTATGTCCTAAATGGTATTCCCTAGGTTGTCTTCCAGGGTTTTTGTAGTTTTGGCTTTTACATTTAAGTCTATATTCCATTTTGAGTTAATTTTTGTATATGGTGTAAGGAAGGAGTCCAGTTTCTGTCTTCTGCATATGTCTAGCCAGTTCCAGCACCATTTATTGAATAGGAATCGTTTCTGCAATGTTTGCTTTTGTCAGGTTTGTAGAAGATTAGATAGTTGTAAGAGTGTGGTCTTATTTCTGGGTTCTGTATTCTGTTCTATTGGTCTATGTGTTTGTTTTTGTACCACTACCATGCTGTTTTGGTTACTGTAGCCCTGTAGTATAATTTGAAGTTGGGTAACATGATGCCTCCAGCTTTGTTCTTTTCACTTCAGATTGCCTTTGCTATTTGGGCTCTTTTTTGGTTTCATATGAATTTTTAAATAGTTTTATCTAGTTTCATGAAGAAAGTCAATGGTAGTTTCATAAGAATAGTATTGAATCTACAAATTGCTTTCAGCAGTATGGTCATTTTAATGATATTGATTTTTCCTATCCATGAGCATGAGATGTTTTTCCATTTGTTTGTGTCATCTCTGATTTCTTTAAGCAATGGTTTGTAGTTCTCTTTGTAGAGAACTTTCACCTCCCAAGTGAGCTGTATTCCCAGGTATTTTATTCTTTTTGTGGCAACTGTGAATGGGAGTTTGTTACTGATTTGGCTCTTGGCTTGACTTTTGTTTGTGTATAGGAATGCTAGTGATTTTTGCACATCAATTTTGCATCCTGAGACTTTGCTGAAGTTGTTTATCAGCTTAAGAAGCTTTCGAGCTGAGACTATGTGGTTTTCTAGATATAGAATTATGTTGTCTGCAAACGGGATAGTTTGACTTCCTCTCTTCCTATCTGGATGCCCTTTGTTTCCTTCTCTTGCCTCATTGCCCTGGCCAGGATTTCTAATACTGTGTTGAACAGGAGTGAGTTCACTACGTCTTTTCTCTGTTTTTGTTTTTCTATTATTAAGCATATGTAGTCAATTTTTATTTTAGATATTGTATTTTTCAGTCATAGAATTCCGTCTGCTTCTTTTTATTCTCTTGGCTAAGAACTGGTATCTTTTCACTGAAGTGTACTTACTTTCACCTCATAAAGCATAATTATGGTAACTGCTTCAAGTCTTTGTGTGACAATTCCAACATCTGTGTCAGGATGGAGTTGGCATCTGTTGTCTTTTCCCTTGGAAACTGGTTTTATTTCCCTAGGAGTTTGCATGTCAAGTAATTGTGATTTGTACCCTAGGCATGCTGAATATTATACTGTAAGACTCTTGAGTCCTATAACGATCCACTAGGGAATGCTTTCATTTGCTTCATCCATTAGTTCAGAAATGTCAATCCTCCCTTCTTTTATGGGAGGACTCAATTCAGTCCTTAAAACTTTTGCTACAGGCCTGTCGTGTCCATGCACCACTTAGGGGTTAGTCTAAAACTTGAGCCATAGTTACATTATTGCCAAATTCTCAAAGCCTCCACTTTGCTGCTTCGTGTCTGTTCCCATGAATGGGCAGCTGAGATGTGAGGCCAGAAGCTGGCCACAAACAGATAGGGGAACAAGCATCTTCTCTGCAGATTTGCCTTCCCAGGCTTTCTCCCCACACTCTGGCTCACAGGACTACTTTATTCTGCGTTTTTGGCTAGAAAAACAGGACTTTTTCACAGTTTTAGCTGCCCAACTTGCTGCCATGTTTGCAGCTCTGTAGTTGCTGCCTGCCTCAGCCGAGGCTGCAAGAGAAAAGAAAACTCCCACAGGGCTCACACCTGCAGTTTTTGGTTCCCCTCCACCAACTGCCTGCTTTGTTTACTTTTCAGCCCACTCAGGGAGTTATTTTTTGAATTTTGTCCAGGTAATTTTTGATCATAATCAGTTGGAAGGGACTTAATAGGCTTTCTCCATCTTGCCCAAACCAGAGCTGACGTTCGTTTCCACATCTAAGGTTACAGAGGAGCCTGAGCCTTTCCTTCTTTTCCTCACTCTGCATGAGCTACACGTCAGCCTGCATTCACCACATAGGCTTTTCAAAATGGAAGTTGTAAATACATCAACACAAAGAAGAAAGCATTAAGCAAGTGTATCAGAACACCATGACAAAAAAAAAAAGAACTATGGTTCCTCTCCCATCTTATCCCAACACTCACGCTTTAGGGAATCAGGTTCTGGAAAGTTCTGCCTTCTAACCCTCTCAAAAAAACACACGCTCACAAGACTGAGTAATCATCCTGTTCCAAATGCTCTCCAGTTCATGCAAGCTGGACATTTATTTTCCTGGCATAAATTTGACTATCAATTGATTAAAATGAGCATTACTGTGTGTTATATTTTCTTCCTCCTGTCCCTTTCTTCTTTCCTTCCACATTGTTAACTGAGCACACCTTGTCCATAGACTATTATAGGCACGGTAGAGAAGATTAAGGTTAATGATTCATAGCGTTAGCCCTTAAGAATTAATCTTAATTGGAAGATATTAGGAACATATAACCCTTAAACATTGTCATTTAATCCCTAATAACGCATTTAGATTGATTAGCATAAGCCATTTTAGTATGTAATAATATAAAATGTCCTAATATTTTGTGCCTTCCGCAACTTCATTGTGGCATCTTGGCTTTCTTGGTGGTTCTTTCAGATGCATGCTAATGAAGTTGCACAGGCCCTGTTCCCTGGAACATTTGCTCTCAGAAAGCACTCAAGGACAACAATTTCTATTCTCTTCTTTAATTATCTAAATTATTTATATCCACCCCCGGAAGTTACAAGATAAATATGTTTTCCTCATAGCAAAATGTAGAGACTAGAGACACTCTTGGAGCATTCTTTCTTTAATGCTTCTCTTTTCATGTTTTCCGTACTCACCAGCCGACTTCAGGGCATAATCAGCCATCTGGACATGGTCCTCCCTCAACTTTTTAAGCACGTAATCAACCAGGTTTGACATTTCCTGTAGAAATTTTAGAAACAGGTTTCTGTTAACAATCTCTGCCAACTGCTCGAGTTTTGACCTAATCTGCAAAATTAGAATAGCAGTGAGCACCTATCAGCTGACTCTGAGCCAGGCACTGTGCATGGATCTGGAATGACGTCTTCATGGCTCTTGGGAGTGTCCTTCTCTGACATATGATGTAAATAAAACCAAGGTGTGTTCAGGGATCCCCCTAAGGTCACACAGCATGGTGGACCTAGGGCCCCTTCTGAAGCCCTAACCACTGCACCACAGTGCTTTCCTGGTGAGGTGTGAGATGAGGTTATGCTGTGACCTGCTGTGTTCCCTCCCTCATTAGTGTCCTGTGCTTAACAGTAAAGACTTGAACATTCTAGAGTTATTTGGGAATCAAGGCAGTTATACACAGACTACACAATTGCTTATATTAGACATTTTTCACGAACTCTGAGTAATACTGGGTTAAAGCACCCTGAGCAGACACGACAGTTCACGTTCAAGCTGCCTAAACGTAACACCTTCACAGGGACGAGGCCTGGAGGGTGGCAGGTGGTCCGCGTCAAATTGCTGTGCATTTCAACAAGTAGACATTAAGGAAGAAGAAGAAGGTAGCTGTGACAGCCGAAGAGAAAGAGGCAAAATAGAGTTCATGGTTTCCATCATAACTTTGCCCGAATCTGATGCTGACTAGACTAACTATACTAGCTATGAAGATGGTGAATGCAAATCTTTTGCTATTTAAGTATTTGTGTATAGAACTCAGAGACTGTTATTTCTATTTTTTTTAAACTGGAAAATAGAACAGTTATTTATTTTGGTGTGAAGTAAGTCAACTGCAATAGAGTGTCTTCTCTGTGACACAGCATTTATGAAACAGTGGGTTTCCATACACCAACCAAATATCAGTCAACACTGGATTTTCCACTGGGAGAAACAGTGGATGTGGCACCGGAAGAACACACCCACTCCCCGTCACCCTGGACATCCTCACTATCTGCCACCCCAACCCCGCCCAACCCGCCTTGCCTCGTCCAGGACCTCCGTGTGGTCTGGGTCCTCTGCAGGGTCTCCATGGGTGCTCCAGCTGTGATTATTGTCCATACCATCCTTCATATCTCTAAGCAATGCCTTCAGGACATCTATTTGTTCAGTCAAAAATAGAATTTCACGAAAATTGTTTTCCAAAGTCTGGCTTTCTTTCCTGCAAAAGGAGAACCTCAGCATGAGAAGAAGAAAGTGTAAAGCTCCCGTTATCAGCTGTTGCTGGGCTTAGGAGCCCGCCACGTGGCGAGGTACTTTATATTGTTGAAGATACATGTTCTTGAGTGAGGGGAGAGCAGAGCATGCCCATTTGTCTAAAGCATCACACTTCACTAAGAAAAACAAGAACAAGCGGGGCACCGTGGCTCATGCCTGTAATCCCAGCACTTTGGGAGGCCAAGGTGGGTGGATCTTGAGGTCAGGAGTTCAAGACCAGCCTGACCAACATGGTGAAATCCTGTCTCTACTACAAATATAAAAATTAGCTGGGCGTGGTGGTGTGCACTTGAAGTCCCAGCTACTCAGGAGGCTGAGGCAGGAGAATCACTTGAACCCGGGAGGCTGAAGTTGCAGTGAGCCAAGATCGCGCCACTGCACTCCAGCCTGGAGACAGAGCAAGACTCTGTCAAACAGACAAACAAACAAATGAACAAATAAAACAACGACCTCCAGGGGTCGCATGGCTGGGGGTGTCCTAGTATAGGGCTTGGCCAGGCTCTGCACGGGGAAGGCAAGGCTCAATCAACCTTGCTGGTCCCCCAGCTGGGTGATTTCACACAGGTGAATCCTAAATCCCACTGGTACCCTCCTTCCAATCGGGAACACCTTGCATTTCCAGTGTAGTACAGAGCAGTGACTTTCCAACTAGCCTGAGTTTGGTGGAAATGCCTTAGAGAAGGGGTGGCTGGGGGATCCAGCCAGTGGGCAGCCACCAGTTACCAGTTTGGCTGCCTGAGCATGCAAGATTTTACTTCCCAAGCATGGGATTTCTATGTTTACAGTTTGAAAAGTACTGGTAGAGAGAATAAGAAAATGTCAAGTGAAAAGGTAGTTCTTTATGCTGAAAAAGTATAAGCACTACTTATCTAGTATTTTTCCCCATTTGTGAAACAATACATGTTTAAAATTGGGAAAAAAAAACCCAAGCATTTAGAAGAAATAAACACCATTAAATTTTAATGACTTTCTACCAGTTTTTATTTCATGCAAAAAATTAGTAACAAAATCACATTTATAATTTTGTGTCTTCACTACACTTCCAAATCATTAAACCTATTTTAAAATTATTTAAATGGCTTTATAATTCTTCATGCCATGAATATATTCCAATGTATTTAACCATTGGCCTATTTTTCTTATAGAGTTGTTTTCCGTTTTTAATAATCACAAATAATAGGGAAAGCACACCTCAGTGTGTATTTTGTTAAGGAATGCTCCATAGAAGTGGAAATATATAAAAGGGCAAGTAATTTTCTAAAGTACAAAAAATGCTACTGTTTGGTGTTTAAAATTTTAAATTATGTATATGCATAAGTGAGAGGAGTCCATTTTTCTTGGGTTGTTTCCTTCTTCTGATAAATCCAAGTAAAAATAAATGTACCATTTTTAATACTAAATACAGCATGTGTAGATTAATTCACCTCTAACCTTTTAATTTTTTCTATCTCCTTTTTTTTCTTTTTCTTCCTCCTTGTTTCCATTTGCATATATACATAGAGAAATGCTAGGAATAATGTCATTAAATATTATTAATAGATATTTCTGGGAGTGAAATTTTGAGTTATTTCAGGGAGTAACTTTTCTTTCCCATACTTTTCTGTACAAAAGCATTTCAGTATTTGAAACCACACCAAAAAGAGGCACATAGCAAAAAATTTCACTCACTTTAAAAGTTCCAGTTGTTCTTTAGACATATGAAGTCTGGCCTGAAAACAACAGAAAAAGATAAATCATTCTGAATTCTGCTTATTCAAATAGAGTTGTATTTTTTTTCTCAGAAAAAGGAGATAAATAGCACGTTGACTCCTGATCTACAGGCGTGCTGGCTGGAACGTAGGAACATCCTCTGAGAGGCCTCTTTCCCAACCTCACCTGTACCTCATGAATGGATTTGAAGGAGATCTATTTAATGAGTGACATTCAATGGGAGCTCTTGGATGGGCACATCATTTCCTGTTTCTCAAGACTGTAAAGGCCTGAACACAGTCTAAGGAGGAGGAGAGAGGGAGGTTGGAAAAGGAAAACAATAGAGGGAGGAGGAAGAGAGGGAAGGGAAGAGAAGGGGGAAAGGCGCCCCTGGTGGATGTGGGAAAGCCCAAGAAGCACATGGCGGCATTAGAGGGCCATGCTGGGCTCTTTGGGTTTGTTCCTGAACAAGAAGGGGGTCTCCCACTTACAAATAAGAAAGGGATGTGATTACTTTTGGGTTAGGTTAACAATCACAATCAGAAAATTGCAGAAATTTCTCTAACACTGGTGACATGTCTGGTGCGGATGATTTCTGGCACGGATGGTCTTGGTGGTGCCAAAACCAAGACAACAAACCAGGAAAAGGTAGAGTTAATGTTTGGACATAACATGTGGCTGTAAGGATGCTGTGGAGGTGATGAGTGAAAATGTAAACACTGGAGAGATCCAGGATGCTGGAATGCAGACAGCACTCTGGTCTGCACTACTGCACTGCCTGTTCCTCAGCCTGGAATGGGGAATGGCCTCGCTGCCTCTTCTTGTCACCGAAAAGACCTCAGTGGTGGAGGCCTGGGTAGCCAGCACCTCTGTGCCCCTTAGCTTACCCTGGTGTGCGTCCTACCACAGACGACAGTGGTTGTCTGCTCACATTCCAAAGCCCTGCACTCTATTCCCAGCTTTCTCTACCCAGCATGAAACACACACACAAACACACACACTCCACAAACACACACTCACACACACATACAAACATGCTCATATGAGCATCACATATGCATACATGCACAACCGCTATTCCAACATGAGATGGTTGGAGAAGGTCAATAATACACCCACAGAGAAAGGGGGGCAAAAGAGAGCACCTTGGGGCACCAATCTTGAAGGGCTCAGAAGCCAACAAGAGTGTGGACAAGCTGATGAGAAGGGGAGGACAAATGTGAAAGGGTGATCTCTTCCCCAGAGAATTCCAGTCAAAATAGTCAACACTGGCCATTGAGGAATGGTTCCTGACACCCTTTCTTTACAGTCTGGAACTCCCCTACCCTAACGTGTTGTATTTAAGTGGCTTATCAATTAAAAGGCAGTATCTTTGACTATGTGCCAAGAAAATAATGTAGATCAGAATGGAGGGATGATCAAGTGTGAGAACAAAGACTGACTCAAGCAATGTTTCCTTGGGTTTAAACTTAAATCTTGGAGGATTCCAGTGTAGGGCTGATGGCCCCACAGGGTCGTGGGGTGAGCCTTATGCTGTGCTGAGGTGCAGGATCTGAGAAATAAAGAGACAGGACACAGAAGTACAAGGAAAATGCAGCTGGGCTCAGGGGGCCACGCCACCTATAAGCGGAGTCGGGTGAGGCCCCGAATGTCCAGAAGCATGTGTATTTATTGTGTATAGGTTAGGGGGAAGGGCAGTGAGTGGAATCATCTTTAAGGATAGTGATAGGGTCATGAGCAATAAAACATGGGGTCCACCCCCATTAGGTTACCTAGGCCAGGAGGTGGACAGTGCGCAGCAAGGGGCCCGTTCCCATGAAGGCAAGGGCCGTGTGCAGTAAGGGGTCCACCCTGTTAGGTCACCGAGGCTTGAAGGTGGGCCATGCGCAGTGAAGAGGGTGCAGGCAAACTACTTCTAAGAAGGTTTATAGGAGGACGCTTTAAGTCACACAGTAGTGACAGAGCTGTCAAGGTTACCACCACCTTCTGGCAGCTTCCAGTGGGTTCTATGGGAAGATGCTTTTCAAGCAGCACAATAGCAAGAGCTGATAAAGTTCACAGTCACCAGGGTGGATTGCCGGTCTGAGGGCAGCCTTCCAGAAGAACTGGAGCAAGGTCCTACAACTCCTTTATCAGGAGGAGTGGCTCTCGCCCCAAGCCTGCCACACAGCGGGTATCTTTACAATACTGAACGCTGCCACCTGAGCCATGGATTCTTGTCCTGGTATAACTGTTTTTCCCTAAATCATGGTCTGCACTGTGTCTGCTCTAGGCATTCCTCCAATTATAAACTAAGATATAATTGTATATATGTAGGGAAATATTCTTTAGGCACTCATACTATCAACTATTATATGATTATATATAGAGGATTATATAAAGAGATTCTTTAAGCCCTAATTCTATAAACTAAAATATGATTATATAAAGGATTATATAAAAGGAAATAACTGAGTAGTAACACTATAAATGAGATATTCTTCAAGCCCTAATTGTGCCAGGGTTCTGCTTAGGTCTCTTTCCTCGGTGCCAATATGGGGGGTTACCCACATTCCAGCAGCAGTTTCCAGAATTCTGTCTCATCCACATACTCTCCCTGCCAGGCTGGGAAGCAGACACCTCTGTGTCTAGGGATCACTTTATTGCAGCAACAAAGCTCACACTTAGGTGCCAACAGAGAACTCGAAGGGACCCTATGAGTTTCCTGGGGCTCTTGTCACAAATGATCGCAAATGTGGTGGCTTGAAACAATGGAAATTTATTCTGTCACTGTTCTGGAGGCTGGAAGTGTGAGGTCAACGTGTCCACATGGCTACACTCCACTGAAGGTCCTCAGGGAGATTCTGTTCTTGCCTTTTCTGACTTCTGGTGGCTCTGGGCTTTCCTAGGCTTGTGGCTGTGTCACTCTAATCTCCACCTCTGCCTTTTTGTGGCCTCCTCTGCTCCTCTCTGTGTCTCTCCTCCGTAAGTCTTCTAAAGAGACCCCTGTCATTGTATTTAGGACCCATCTGTGTAATCTAGGACAATTTCATCTCAAGAACCATCTGCAAAGACCCTTTTCCCAAGTAAAGGTCACAATCGCAGGTTCTGGGTGTCAGAAGGTAGACATATCTTTTTGGGGATCACCTTTCAACCTCTTACAGTGACCATCAATGTGTTATCTGGGAAATAATGCCCCATCTCTCCCCAGTAATTAATCTTCTTTCCTGTTTCAAAGACTGGCTTTTTATTAGTTTGCTTTGCCCAAAATAGTGCAACACGCTATAAATGTGTTGTGTCTTGTGTGATGCTGTTGTGTATTGGGTGATAATGGTGTCAAAATGGAATGTAGTGTGACACACAGGAATAATACTGCCTTGCTTTTTTCTGAACAATTACATTTCTTGTATGTTCTCTTCAACGTTTATATTTTGACAAAGGATGTGAGTTTGGAAGCTTATCATTGGTAGAGATTCTCACTTCTAGCTTTTCACATTCTGTTTGAGCAAGTTCCCTGTCAGTAGGAGCAGTGTTTTCCATTTGTTTCTTTTTTTCTGTTCCAGTCTTAAAATAACGTATAGAAAATACTGCTCAATTAATTTGCTGATAAATGAACTTGAGAGTTCCTTGAGAAATAATTTTTTCACAATTTTAAAAACATTTTTATTTTGCCTTATTCCCAAAAGCATTTCAGGTGAGTTCTCCTATAGGAACATATATAGTGTAAGAACGTGTAGGAGAAAACAGTAAGTGAGGAAGTGAAAGTGAAGAGAAAATAAAGATTGGAAAAACCAGACAGCAAAAGATGGATGAGGTTGTAATCTACTTGTGCCTGAAATTGAAAGTTATTAGCTGTGGGCTATAAATTTGTTTTAGAGGATCACAGCAACCACATGGGTGTGGTGAAGGGGCAGGCTAATGACCAAAATTTACCACATCCACAATGTGGAAAAAGAAAATCCCAAGTGTTCTAGAGGCTGCTTTATGTATAGTTATTACTTTCTGCAACATTCCTGGCAATGAGATGGAGGTTCAGTGTCCTGGGAACCTTCTTCCTAAAAGATCCCTCTCTGTAGGCTGTTGGCCTCATAACAAAGCCTACATCAGGCAAAGCCTCATTAGATGTGAAAATATCCAGAGCACTTGTTAAGAGGACACAGCCTCCAGGGATATTGTTTTCAGCAACAAAGCCCCTGTGCCCATCTTAACCATGGATTAAGGTAAGGTCTGACTGCATATGCGGTCAATTCACAGCCTCCTGGGATATGAAGGCATTAGGTAGAGGCTGGCAAAGAAAAATAACTATGGGCTTTTTTTGTTTTCCAGATAATGTTGACTGAGACCCAAATCTTTATGCCTTGGAATACAGCTCTAGTGATTTGAACCAGGATAAATTCAATGATGTGTTAACAAATTTCTTACATGGTCATTAAAATTGTTTTTTTCTGAATGAAATCCCATAAGACATCTAATTTTAAACCATATAACTTTAAGGTGAAACCTACAAACTATAGTGATTGCAGACTGTGCCCTGGGTAAATAGCTAAGCTTTCTGCTTAATATAGGTTTTAAGATAGAAACCTATTAAATATTGGAGTAAGTAATTTGAAGTCACTGGTGTTGAACTCACCACTGTGATTGCTTTTGATTGAATATCTATGTCTCTTCCAAAATTCATGTTGAAACTTAATCCCCATTGTGGTGTTATTAAGAGGTAGGGTCTTTGGGGGAGTGATTAAGTCATGAAGGCACCACTCATGTGAAGAGAATTAGTGCCTTCATAAAAAGCTCAAAGGAACTAGTTTCGGCCCCTTCTGCCCTTCCACCTTCTGCCATGTGAAGACACAAGAAAGCCCGCATTAAACAAGAATGCTCATGCATTGATCTCAGACTTCACAGCCTCCAGAACTGTGAGAAGCACATTTCTGTTCCTGATAAGCTACCCAGTCTGTGGCGTTTTGTTATAGCAGCACAGATGCATTAAGACTGTGCTGGTGATTTGAAAGTGGCAAGTGACAGTGCAGTTCAAGTGACAATGCAGTTCAAGTGACAACGCAGTTTTGCTCTCAGTGTAGCGGTGAGCAAAGTCTGGTCTGAATGGCAGGCCCAGTCTCAACAAAATCTGGGTCCTCAGGGAGGACCGTTCAACTCTGGAATATGCAGTGGTGTGACCACAGGCTGCTTTCCTTCTTGTGCTGATCCAGCTTTCTAATCTATAAATTTAGTAATACTCTTACTGAAAGGTCATTTCGAGGATAATGTGTAATATATATTTAGTGTTCTTAGGGTCCCTTCTTATGCATAACTATTACCAGTATCCTGTTCTCCATGGTGGAATATAGGGAGATACATCCAGCTGTTTGAAAAGTAGTATCAGATCATTAGGATTCAACTTGAAAACAAGGTCACCTAAAAATTATGAATATTCTTTACATATTTTTAAGAGTTTATCCTAAGTAAGTAATCAAGGATAGGCAAATTGATTTAGCTATAGGATGCTTATATTTATAATATTTAAAAAATTAGAGACAATCCAATTATTTAGAAATGAGTATTCATTGAAAATAGTATTCATTGGAATATTTTATCATCCATTAATTGCAATCATAAGATATCTAAAGGCAAGGGAACATATTTAAAATCTATTACTGGCCAAGTGCAGTGTTTCACACCTGGAATCGCTTGAGCTCTTGAGCTCAGGAGATTGGGACCAGCCTGGGCAACATGGCAAAACCCTGTCTCTACCGAAAATACAAAAATTAGCCAGGCATGGCTGCACATGCCTGTAGTCCAAGCTACCTGGGAGACTGAAGTGGGAGGATCACTTGAGCCATGGAGGCAGAGGTTGCAGTGAGCCAAGATTGTCTGAGTGACAGAGGGAGACCCTGTCTCAAAAAAAAAGACAAATCAGCTCATGCCTATAATCCCAGCACTTTGGGAGGCTGAGGCGGGTGGATCACGAGGTCAAGAGATGGAGACCATCCTAGTCAACATGGTGAAACCCCATCTCTACTAAAAATACAAAAATTAGCTGGGCATGGTGGCATGCACCTGTAGTCCCAGCTACTGAGGAGGCTGAGGCAGGAGAATTGCTTGAACCCAGGAGGTGGAAGTTGCAGTGAGCTGAGATCGTGCCATTGCACTCCAGCCTGGGTAACAAGAGCGAAACTCCGTCTCAAAAAAAAAAAAACATCTATCACTAAATAAATAAAAACAAGTCACTAAACAGTGTCTACTTTATGTAGTTTGGGATTTATAAAGAGCTCACATAGAAATGAGTTACAATCAGTCTTCAGTGGTTTCTGACAGAGCTCTTGTCTGTGTGAAAACCAGGTTAACACCGGTCAAAAATTAAATAATCATAGCTCTAGCTCAACCTCAACCTCAATCTCACGAAAAATACCGTCCTTAGAAACACAGCTGTAGAAATTTTATGTTTAGAGACAGAGTCTTTCTATCTCACCCAGGCTGTAGGGCAGTGGCACGAGCGGCCTGGCAGCATGGCTGACTACAGCCTGAACCTCCCAGGCTCAAGTGATCCTGCCACCTCAGCCTCCAGAATAGCTGGGAGCATAGGCATGTGCCACTAAGTCCCATTAATTTTTTGTTGTTTGGGCTGGTCTTGAACTCCTGGAGTCAAGCCATCTGCCCACCTCAGCCTCCCAACGTGCTGGGATTACAGGAACGAGCCACCTCATTGGGCTGGCTAGACATTTTTAAAGGGTTGAGTTTGCTGTTGAGTATGCTAGTTAGTCTAAAATTGAAGGTAGAAGGGAAGGATGCTTTTAAAAAAACGTGTTTAGTCTCAGATCATTTGTTTACTTGTTAGTGAATATATTTATTAAGCTTCCATTTACCTGGGGACCTTTTCAGGCTCTAGATAAGCTCCTTGATCATTACATTTTAGTTAAAAGGGGAGAAAGCAGGAAGAGAGCTGGTAAAGAAATCAATGAGTGTCTAAGATAAAGCAAGGGTAAACTAGGATGTGCCTCCTCCTGGGTATTGTCACAGGTAGTTTGGGTGGTCACAGAAGCCTGTCTGAGAAGAAGACATTCAAGCTAGCCGGAATTCAGAAAGAATCCATCCCTGCAAAGAGCTGCAGCAGAAGACTGCGGGCAAAGGGGCTCCCAATATTCAGGCCTTAACAGAACCTGCCAGATAAACTTACGAGTGTATTAGTCAGGGTTCTCTAGAAAAACAGAACCAAGCCAATGTATATATATAGAGAGATTTATTTTGGGGAATTGGCTCAAATGACTGTAGGGCTCACAAGTCTGAAGCTGGAAAACCAGGGAAGAATTGATGTTGCAGCTCAAGTCTGAAGGCTATTTGGAGAAAAATTTTCTTCCTTGGAGGATTTCATTCTTTTTTCTTTTCTTTTTTTCCCCCTTGAGACAGTCTCACTCTCTGTCACCAGGCTGGAGTGCAGTGGTGCGGTCTTGGCTCACTGCAACCTCCGCCTCCTGGGTTCAAGCAATTCTCCTGCCTCAGACTTTTGAATAGCTTGGTCTTTATTCTTAAGACCTTAATATGACTGTGAGGTCAACCCACATTGTAGATGGTAGTCTTTTGTACTTAGTCTATTGATTTAGATGTTAATCACATCTAAAAAATACCTTCACTGCAACATCTAGACTGGTGTTTGACTGAACATCTGGGCGCCATGGCCAAGCCAAACTGACAGACAAAATTAACCATCACAGTGAAGCTTAGGCACCAATTGGCAATAATTGGAGCTGCTGTTGACCACTCTGTATGTTCATCTCTGCTTCTCAAGTGATGACCTAGCTAGCCAGCTTCAGCTCCCATGGGCTTGGTCCTAGTCTTTGATGTGAGAACCTCATGGAGTAGGAGCTATCTGAGGTTGACACTCTCTGTGGGGTTTCCAGGCGGCTGTGCTTTTGTCCAAAACTAGGGGCTCACAGATTCTCAACATATACAGAGTGAGTAGTAGCACCTTTGAGATTGGGAGTTCTCCTGGGCATCGACCTATGAACTTCCAGGGGAGGCTTCCTCACTGGACTGGAATACTGTGGGCACCATACATGTGCAGTCTCCTCCCTATTGGGACTTCATGTGGCAAGACATATTGGAATGAGGCAGTTCCTGGAGGAACTGGGAAGCAAACGATTTCAGAGGCCCTAAGGGAAAAGGGTATGAAGTATGAATCTGATAATCAGGTCCAAGGCCACTGACTGGGGTCACTGAAGTCACTGTCAGTTAAAAGGTCAGTATACTTGTGGAGACAGGTCAATATGTCTGTCCCATCTTCCCACAGAGCAGCAGTGACCTGGTCATAGCTCCTGCTGAAACCACCTTTGCAAAAATGATAATTATGACAAAAGGTAATTATGACAGTGAAGGAGACCAGACCTAACGGAGTCCATCTTGCTTCTAACATTTAAGCTGTCCTTGTTCATGTCCGGAAATAGGTCAAACTAACTTTGGGAAGGAATTCAGTTCATGGGTTGACTCTGAAATAAAATGGATAGTAGCCCTTTCCTGAAAAGACCCCCTTCTTGCTTGGGGACCAGTCTGCCTTTTTAGGACTAACAAATTAGCTACAAGATTAGAAATTACGGTTTAGGGGTCATGCAGCCTCTGGCTCCAAGAGTCTAAACCTCCCCAAATTGTTCCTGGAGATAAAATCACTATTGTAAAACCTAAGATCAGTGCTTGAGATATTTTGCAGACCCTGAACTGGATGGATCAGCTGACACCCCAGACCTGGTAATCTGGCTCAACCAGTTCTGCCATTGCACCCAGGAACAGAAGACAGCAAGAAAGACCTCACTTCAACCCTCTATGATTTCATCTCCAAACTGACCAATCAGCATTTGCTACTTCCCAAGCCCCTACCTGCCAAATCATCTTTAAAAACTCTGATTCTCAAATGTTTGTGGAGACTAATTTGAGTAATAATAAAACTGTGGTCCTGCACAGTTGGCTCTGTGTGAATTACTCTTTCTCCATTGCAATGCCCCGTCTTGATAAATTGGCTCTGTCAAGACAGCGGGCAAGGTGAATCTGTTGCGTGGTTGCACTGCCACTCTCCTCCCTCCAGTCTTCTGAGTTTCTGAGCATAGGATGGACAAGGCTTATTCTGGAATGCTGGGGGTGGGATGGATCAGAAAGAGGGCATTCAATGACTGGCCTCAGTCTAAGCCCACTTAGCTCCAACTAGCTTCGGGACAAAGGGAAGTGCCAAACTCCTGTTCAGTGTCAGGCAGAAGCTGATGATAAAAATTTATTTGCCGTTTTATTTGTGTTTGAGATTCTCTTGGGAAACTGTGGAGAATTTTTAGGATCTCATAGCTATGAAACTATTGTCTTATTCAGTTTTCTGCTGCTATAGCAGAACACCACAGCCTGGATATTTTATAAACAACAGAAGTTTGGCTCACAGTTCTGGAGACTTGGAAATGTAAGAGCATGGGACTGGCATGTGGTGAGGGTCATTCTATGGCAAAAGGGTGAAAGGTCACATGAACGCATGAGACAGAGAGTGAAATGGGGCCCAACTCGTCCTTTTATTAGGAGCCCACTCTTCAGTTGACTGTCCCACTCCAATGATAATGGCATTAATTCAGAGCCCTTATGACTCAACCACTTCTTAAAGGTCCTACTTCTGAACAGTTATAACGGCAACTAAATTTCAACATGAGGTTTGGTGGCCACATTCAAACTATAGAAACTACTTAATAGAATTCCATTTCCTACATTAATTTTATTAGATATTCTCGTATGAAACGATGATAACATATTGAAAGTTGGATTAGCCTTGTAGCATATTAAACTTTAGTAAGTGATATACAAAATGAATTAACAAAACATCACCTGATATTTATAAATCCTTGAACCATATTCTGCAATTATGGCATATAATCGTCTGGATTTCTGAGGATCCTCTGTTTCTTTAAGCCACTGATGACTTAGGAGTCCTGTTAAAGAAAACTCTGATTACAGAGTTTATCTGGAAACAAAATATGTTACATGTATTCATAAGAATTTCCCTAAACATGAATAATTACTGTTAAGAATATCAGATACTTGGGTGACATCATGGAAAATGGTGGCATAGTACACACAACGAGGCAGGCCTCCATATAAACAATATATCCGGTAGACCGGGAGCAGTGGTTCACACCTATAATCCCAGCACTTTGGGAGGCCAAGGCAAGTGGATCACAAGGTCAAGAGATTGAGAACATCCTGGTCAACATGGTGAAACCCATCTCTACTAAATATACAAAAATTAGCTGGGCATGGTGGTGCACGCCTGTAGTCCCAGCTACTCGGGAGGCTGAGGCAGGAGAATTGCTTGAACCCAGGAGGCAGAAGTTGGTGAGCCGAGATTGCACCATTGCACCCCAGCCTGGGTAACGAGAGTGAAACTCCGTCTCAAAAAACAAAGCAAAAAAAAAAAGAACATCAGCAACAACAACAAAAATATAGCTGGTAAAGATGGACAGAATAAACATTTTTGGAACTCTAGAATCTAATCCAAAACCTACAGCAACCAGATAACTAAGGATGGGGGGCGAGTTTCTAGTAACAGAGCATGTAGCATTTTTGTTTACCTGACTACCATCTTCCATTTCCCAACCTGGTGGTGGCATTTCACATTCCTTCAATATAGACCTTGTTCTTAAAATACCAAGGCAATGGTTTTTGACCCATCAAGTGGTACCCTGAGCTGGCCCAGAAGCTGACCTGTGTTTATTCCACCCCCATAGCTTTCTAGAAGGTGGCAACATCTGTTGAAAGAGTTCAAAGACACACTGCCCAAGGCCAACTGGGACAAAGGACAGTAGATGATGAAAGTGGCAGACAGACCCCAAAGCCCATGAATAAAGAGGCAATCTCTTGCTGGAATAAGGGCTCAGAAAGACTGCTATATCATGTACTAGAAAAGAGAGAATGTAATATGCATTTCTAGGACTGGATACATGTTCGTAAATGACCCTCAAGAAGATACCAGCTTGCAAGTCCTGTGGATCTGTAGATTGTGTATAAGCAGGACATGAAGCCTAAGTCAGAGTTTTAGGTGGCCTCGCTTAGCCTTGAAGAGTGTCCTAGCTTAGAGCCAAGCGGCAAAGACTGAGAGAGTAATCTCTCAGTCTCTGTTTCTGTCTGTCTGTCTGTCTGTCTCTGGATTCAGGAATTCAAGGAAATATGTGTTAAATCAGTGGCTAACCACTGAGATCGTGCAATAGAAAACATATATTACAAGAAATACAGTCTTAAAAAATGGTTTGAAAATGTTACTAAACAAAGAAGTGATTGCAGCCTTCAACATGCAACAGCAGGCAAACCCTGGGGAAGAGGAAAATCTAATTTCTAGAGATATTACATTATAATATTAAAATGCTCAATTTACAAAATTACAAGGCATGGAATGAAACAGGAAAGTATAACCCATTCAAAAGGAGAAAATGACAGAAACCATCCCTGAGGAGTCTGACACTGGAATTACAAGACAAAAACTTTAAATCAACTGTTTTACATATGTTCAAAAACTTAAAGAAACCATGGACAAAGAACTAAAGGAAACCAGGAAGATTATGTATGAATAAAATGAGAATATTGATAAAAATAAATTATGAAAGAAGCCAAATATAAATTCTGAAGCTGAAAGAGGAATAACTAAAATGAAAAACTTACTAGAAGGGCTCAACAGTAGATTTAAGCAGATAGATGAAAGAATCCGTTAACTTGAAGATAGAGCTATTGAAATTATTGAGTCTGTAAACAGAAAAAAGTGAATAGAGCCTAAGACACCTATCAGACACTATGAAGTGGATGAACATATGTATTGCCGCAGTCTCAGAAAGAGGAGAAAGAGAGATAAAGGGGCATAAAGAATATTTGAAGAAATAAACAAAACCTATGGGATACAGCAAAAGCAGTACTAAGAGGGAAGATTATAGCTATAAGTGCCTATATTGAAAAAGAGGAAAGCATCAAATAAATGACAGAATCATGCACCTTAAAGAACTAGAAAAGCAGGAGCAAACCAAACCCAAAATTAGTAGAAGAAAATAAATAATAAAAATCAGAGCAAAAATAAATAAAATTGAAATGAAGAAAATACAAAAGACCAATAGAACAAAAGTTTTTAGAAAAGTTAAACAAAATTGATAAACCTTTAGCCAGATTAAGAAAAAAAAGAGAAGATACAAATGAAATTAGAAATAATAAAGGAGACATTAAAACTGATACTGCACAGATTTAAAGGATCATTCATAGCTACTATGAACAACTGTATGCCAATAAATTAGAAAATCTACAATAAATGGACAAATTACTAGACACATACAACCTACCAAGATTGAACCAGAAAGAAATTCAAAACCTGAACAGACCAATAAATAGTAATGAGACTGAAGCCATAATAAAATAAATTCCCAGTAAAGGAAAGCCCAGGACGTGATGGCTTCATTGCTGAATTCTACTACACGTTTAAAGAAGAGCTAATACCAATCTCACCCAAACTATTCTGAAAAATAGAGGAGAAGGGAATACTTCTAAAATCATTCTATAAGGCCAATGTTACCCTGATACCAAAACCAGATAAAGACCCATCACAAAACAAAAAAGAAAACTATAGGCCAATATCTCTGATAAATACTGATACAAAAACTCTTAATAAAATACCAGCAAACTGAATTCCACAGTACATTAGAAAGATAATTCTTCATGACCAAGAGAGATTTATCCCTGGGATGCAAGGATGGTTCAACATATGCAAATTAGTCATATGCAAATCAGTCAATGTGATACATCATGTCAATAAAATTAAGAATAAAAACCATATAATTTTTTTTCAATTGATACTGAAAAAGCATTTGGATAAAATTCAACATCTCTCCATGACAAAAATCCTCAAAAAATTGGGTATGGAAGGAACATACCTCAACGTAATAAAAGCCATGTATGACAGACAGATCCACAGCTAGTATCACACTGACTGGGAACAAACTGAAAGGGCTTTTCTCAAAGATCTGGAACATGACAAGGATGCTTACTTTCGCCACTGCTATGAGATATAGTACTGGAAGTCCTTGCTAGAGCAACAAGGCAAGAGAAAGAAATAAAGGGCATCCAAATTGCAATGAAAGAATTTAAATTATCCTTGCTTGCTGAGTATATGATCTTATATTAGGAAAAAACCTAAATGCTCCACAAAAAAAACCTATTAGAACTGATAAATTCAATAGTGTTGCAAGACATAAAGTCAATGTAATAAAAATCAGTGGCATTTCTACATACCGGCAGTGAACACTCTGAAAAATCAATAAAGTAATCTCATTTACAGTAACTGCAAATAAAATTAAATACCTAGGAACTAACCAAAGAAGTGAAAGATCTTTACAATGAAAACTGTAAAACATTGATGAAAGAATTAAAGAGAACACCAAAAAAAGATAGTTCATGTTCATAAATTAGAAGATCAGTGTTGCTAAATGTCCATACTACTTGAAATAATGTACATAATTAATGCAATCCTTGTCAAAATACCAATGACATTCTTCACAGAAATAGAAAAAAAAAAAAACCTAACATTTATATGCAACCACAAAAGACCCAAATAGTCAAAGCTATTCTTACCAAAAAGAAAATTGGAGGAATCACATTACCTGACTTCAAATTATACTACAGAGCTTAGCCAACAAAACAGCAGGGTACTGACATAAAAAGAGAGAGAAAGGCCAATGGAACAGAATGAGATCCCGTATAGATAACTGATTTTCAACAAACGTGCCAAGAACATACACTGGGAAAAACATGGTCTCTTCAATAAATGATGCTGGGAAAACTAGATATTTATATGCAGAAGAATGAAACTAGATCCCCGGATTAAAGGCTTAAATCTAAGACTTTAGACTATGAAACAACTGTAAGAAAACCTTGGGGGAAAATCTCCAGGTAATTGATCTAGGCAAAAATTTCTTGAACAGTATCCCACAAGCACAGGCAACAAAAGCAAAAATGGAAAATGGACAAATGGGATCACAGTTAAAAAGCTTCTGCACAGCAAAGGATACAATTAACAAAGTGAAGAGATAACTCACAGAATGGGAGAAAATATTTACAAACTACCCATCTGACAAGAGATTAATAAGAAGAATATGTAAGGAGCTCAAATAACTCTATAGGAAAAAAAACTTATTAATCTGATCAAAAACATAGGCCAAAGATTTAAATAAACATCTCTCAAAAAAAAGACACACAAATGGCAAACAGGTATATGAAAATGTGCCTGTTTCATTGATTGTCAGAGAAATGAAAATCAAAACTACAATGAGATGTCATCTCACCCCACTTAAAATGGTTTATATCCAAAAGACCGGCAATAACAAATGCTGGAGAGGATGTGGAGAAAAGAGAACCCTCATACACTGTTGGTGGAAATGTAAATTAGTACAAGCACTATGAAAAATAGTTTGGAGAATCTTTTAAAAAATGATAAATAGAGCTAACGTGATCCAGCAGTCCCACTATTGGGCATATACCAAAAATAAAGGAAATCAGTATATCAAAGAGATATCTGCACTCCCGTTTGTTGCAGCGTTGTTCACAATAGCTAAGAATTGGAAGCAACCTAAGTGTCCATCAAGAGATGAATGGATAAAGAAAATGTACATATATACAATGGTGTACTCTTCAGCCAGAAAAAAAGAATGAGATAATGTCATTTGCAACAACATGGATGGAATTGGAGATCATTATGTTCAGTGAAATAACCCATGCACAGAAAGACAAATATCACACGTTCTCGCTTATTTGTGGGAGCTAAAACTTAAGACAGTTGAACTCATGAACATAGAGAGTAGCATGATGATTACCAGAAACTGCGGAGGGTAGTGCAGGAGAGGGAGGAGGTGTGGATGGTTAACAGGTACAAAAAATAGGAAGGATAAATAAGACCTACTGTTTGAGAGCACAATGGGGGATTACAGTAAAAAATTACTTAATTGTACATTTAAAAATCACTAAAAGATCATAATTGGATTGTATGTAACACAAAGGATATATGTTTGAGGGGCTGGTTACCCCGTTCTTCATGATATGATTATTTCACATTGCATGCCTGTATCAAAACATCTCACGTACCCCATAAGTATATACATTTACTATGTACCCACAAGAAATCAAAAATTTTTAAATTTTAAACAAGGAAAAGAATATTTAAAGAAATAATGGCTGAGGGCTAGGTATGGTGGCTCATGCTGTAATCTCAGCACTTTGGGAGGCCAAGGAAGGGGGATCACTTGAAGTCAGGTGTTTGAGACCAGCCTGACCAACATGATGAAACCCTGTCCCTACTAAAAAATACACAAATTAGCCACACATGGTGGTGGGTGCCTGTAATCCCAGGTAGTAGGGAGGCTGAGGCAGGAGAATGGCTAGAACCCGGGAGAGGGAGGTTGCACTGAGCCGAGATCGTGCCATTGCACTCCAGCCTGAGTGACGGAGCAAGACTCTGTCTCAAAAAAATAAAAATAAAAAAGGCTGAAAAAGTTCCAAATGTGATAAGAAGCCATGAATCAATACATCCAAGAAGTTCAACAAACTGCTAGTAAAACAAACTTAAAAAGACCCCTGCTGAAACCTATTATAATCAAACCGTTGAAAGACAAAAATGCAGAGAGAATCTTGAAAGCGGGAAGAGAGCAATGCCTTGTCATATACAAGGAAGCCTCCACTGGATTATCACCTGATTTTTTCTTCGGAAACCACAGAGGCCAGAAGACAGTGGGATGACATATTTAAAGTGCTGAAAGAAAAAAAGATTCTATATATGACAAAACTATTCTTCCAACTGAGGAAACAATTAAGATATTCTAAGATAAAGAAAAGCTCATGGTGTCTTTGCCACTAGACCAGCCCTTCAGGCAACACTAAAGGGATTCCTTCAGGTGGCAGTGAAAGGATATTAGAGAGTAACTCGACACCACATGAAGCAATCAAAATCTCCAGTAAAGGTAACAGAGAAGTAAACATGAAACCAGTATTATTGTTTTGGGTTTGTAACTCCTTTTTTATTTCCCACATAATTTAAAAGAGAAATTTATAAAGCATAATTACAAATCTATGTTTGTAGGTACCCAATGTATAAATGTAATTTTTGACACCATAAAAAGAGTCAATCCCAGTGAATGGAGGTCATAAGGAGAAAAATGACAAACAAACAAACAAAAAAAAGAGGAACAGACTTAAATAGGAGCAGAGTATTTGTATTCTATTAAAGTGAATTTGGTATGAATTTAAACTATATTGCTATAAATGTAAGGTGTTTGTTGAAATCCCCATGGTAACCACTAAGAAAATATCTAAAAAACATATACAAAATGAAACAGAACAAAATCAAAACAGTACATTACAACAAAGCAGTTAAACACAAAAGAAGGCAGTAAAAAAGGAAATGAAGAACAAAAAATGTATAAGATATAGATCTTCTAAAAAATAGAAAAGTGGCAGAAGTAAGTCATTCCTTATTAGTAATTAATGTAAATTAAAATGGATTAAACTTTCCAATCAAAAGGCAGAGAAGCTGGCAGAATACATTTAAAAACATGATTCAACTATATGCTACTTACAAGAGATTTACTTTAGAATCAAAACTAAAAATTAAGAAACATGGCTGAAAAAAATTAAAGAAGACCTAAATAAAGGGAAGGACAACTATGTTCATGAATTGGGAGATTTACTATTGCTAAGATGGCAAAACTACCTACAGCTCTCCACAGATTCAAAGTAATCTTTTTCAAAATCTCAACAGTGTGATACTGGTTAATGACAGACATATAGACCAATGGGTTAGACTATCCAGAAATAAACCTATTCAACTATAGCAAATTCAGTTTTTGGAAAGGGGGACAAGACAGTCAATGATTCCTATAGGGAAAGAATAATATTTTCAGCAAATGGTCCTGGGACAATAGGCTATCCATATGCCAAAAAATGAAGTTGGATTCCCTTGCATCATATACAAAACTGAACTCAAAATGGGTCAATTACCTAAATATTATAAGAACCCAAACCACAAAACTCTTTATAAACTGTGATAACTCTTCATAACTTAAGATTTGGCAATAGAATTTTCAATATGACCCTCTCAAAATTATAAGTCTTTGTGTATCAAAGGACATTATAAAGAAAGTGTAAAGACAACCTAGAATGAAAGAAATATTTTCAAGGGATGTATCTGAGAAGGGTTTAGTATCTAGAATATATAAAAAACTCTTCCAACTCAACAATAAAAGGACAAACCTAATCAAAAATAAGCAAAAGACTTTAATAGACATTTCTCCAAGGAACACATACAAATGATCAATAAACACATAAAAAGATGCTTGACATCATTAGTCATTAGAGAAATCAAACCATGATGAAACATGACTTTTCATCCACCATGATGGCTATAATAAAAAAAGGGAAAAAACTGGTATAGAAATTGAACTTCTTGTTTTAATCCATTTGTGTTGCTTTAAAGGAATATCTGAGGTTGGGCAATTTATAAAGAAAAGAGGTTTATATGGCTCACAGTACTATAGGCTGTACCAGAAGCATGGCACCAGCATCTGCAGCTGGTGAGGGCCTTTGGCTGCTTCCACTCGTAGTGAAAGGCAAAGAGGAGCCAACATGTACAGAGATCACATGATGAGAGAGGGAGCAAGAGAGAGGGGGAAGAGGTCAGGTTCTTTTTAACAATTAGCTGTTACAGGAACTAACAGAGGGACAACTCATTACTGTAAGGATGGAACCAAGTGATTCATGAGAAATCTGCCCTCTTAACCCAAATGCCTTCCATTAGGCCCCCACCTGCAACATTGGGGGTCAAATTTCAACATGAGGCTTGAGGGGACAGATATCCAACTGTAGCACTGCTTATACACTGCTTGTGGGAATGTAAAATAGTGCAGCCATTGAGGAAAACAGTTTGGTGGTTCCTCCTAGAAATTTCATTCCTAGGTATATACTTGAAAGAATTGAGAACAGGTGTTCAAATAAGTACATTTATACACTTATGCATCATTAGTTACAATAGCCAAAAGATAAAAGCACTCTAAATGTCCATGAGTAAATAAATGGATAAATGAAATATGGTATATATATACAATGGAATATTATTTAGCTACAAAAAGGAATGAAGAACTGACACTTGCCAGAATATGGATGAACTTAAAAACATGCCAAGTGAAAGAAATCAGATAAGAAAGATCACATACTATGCTGGGGGTTGTGGGTTGTGATATTGCCCAGTAAGAAACTACAAACTGGCCAGGCACGGTGGCTCATGCCTGTAATCCCAGCACTTTGGGAGGCTGTGGTGGGTGGATCACGAGGTCAGGAGTTCAAGACCAGACTGGCCAACACAGTGAAACCCGGTCTCTACTAAAAATACAAAATTTAGCTGGGTATGGTGGTAGGTGCTTGTAATCCAGCTACTCGGGAGGCTGAAGCAGAGAATTGCTTGAATTCAGGAGGCAGAGTTTGTAGTGAGCTGAGATCACGCCACTGCACTCCAGCCTGGGCAACAGAGTGAGACTCTGTCTCAAAAGAAAAAAAGAAACTACAAACTGCACATTCTGCAGTAATTTCTTTGGGACTGTGTGATAAGCAAGAGTCTCTGGTTGTCAAAACCTCCCAAGTGGAGTGACCCAAATTCAGAAAACATAAAATGTATATGTTGCAATAAAAATATTGGAAATTCTTAACTTGAAAGCAATATCTAGGACTGTAAAATTTACAAGAAGAAAATCACAATTCCAAGAGAAAAAAGTCCTTTCTTAATTTTCTATTAAAAAGACAATATTACCTTTATAATCAGAAATTTACAAAAAAAAAAAAAAGCTTCAAGAATGTGCAGGGCACCTCCAGCATTTTCCGTGGCATTTATTTACAAATATGAGTCATTCTGTTGAGCTCTCTCTCACCAGGCAGACATATTCTGGATCATTACTTAGGAAGACTTACCTACAAGAAGAAAAGTCAATGTAAACATTGTACTTAGAATAATCTTCCATGATCGAGTTACCCTAAAATAATAAAAACAATGATTAAAAAAAGAATTTAACAACATCATGTATTTTACTTGGACTTTAGCCACTACACCCAAGTTAATAAACTTACTTGTTCTCATTCTTGCTTAATCTAGGTTGAGTCTATGAATTACTCTAATTTCCAATCCACTATTTTTTAAATTGACAGATCATTTTCATGATGATACACACTCACCTGCATATATGTGTGCACATACATACAGTCATACCTCTCACTTTCACGTATGTAATGCTTATGCTAGTATATGTCTATTTATATTCTTAAAATGCTTATAAGAAAAAAAACAGACAAATGGAACAAAACAGAGGCACCGGAGGCAACACAACATACATACAACTATACAATCTTTGATAAACCTGACAAAAACAAGCAATGGGGAAAGGATTCCATGTTTAACAAATGGTGTTGGGAAAACTGGCTAGCCATGTGCAGAAAGCAGAAACTGGACCCCTTCCTGACACCTTACACTAAAATTAACTCCAGATGGATTAAAGACTTAAACATAAGACCTGGCACCATAAAAACCCTAGAAGGAAATCTAGGCAAAACTATCCAGGACATAGGAGTAGGCAAGGACTTCATGAACAAAACACCAAGAGCATTGGCAACAAAAGCCAAAATAGACAAATGGGACCTAATGAAACTCCACAGCTTCTGCACGGCAAAAGAAACAGTCACTAGAGTGGATCGGCAACCAACAGAATGGGAAAAAATTTTCGCAGTCTACCCATCTGACAAAGGGCTGATATCTAGAATTTACAAACAACTCAAGCAGATTTACAGGAAAAAAACAAACAGGCCCATTCAAAAGTGGGCAAAGGATATGAACAGATACTTTATGAAAGAAGACATATATGAGGCCAACAATCATATGAAAAAATGCTCATCGTCACTGGTCATCAGAGAGATGCAAATCAAAACCACGTTGAGATACCATCTCACGCCAGTTAGAATGGCGATCATTAAAAGATCTGGAGACAACAGATGCTGGAGAGGATGTGGAGAAAAAGGAACACTTTTACACTGTTGGTGGGAGTGTAAATTAGTTCAACCATTGTGGAAGACAGTGTGGCGATTCCTCAAGGCCTTAGAAATAGAAATTCCATTTGACCCAGCAATCCCATTACTGGGTATATATCCAAAAGACTATAAATCGTTCTACTATAAGGACACATGTACACGAATGTTCATTGCAGCACTGTTTACAATAGCAAAGACCTGGAATCAACCCAAATGCCCATTGATAATAGACTGGATTGGAAAAATGTGGCACATATACACCATGGAATATTATGCAGCAATCAGAAATGATGAGTTCGTGTCGTTTGTAGGGACATGGATGAATCTGGAAAACATCATCCTCAGCAAACTGACACAAGAACAGAAAATGAAACACCGCATATTCTCACTCATAGGTGGGTGATGAAAAATGAGAACACATGGACACAGAAAGGGGAGTACTAAACACTGGGGTCTATTGGGGGGAAAAGGGGAGGGCCAGTGGGAGGGGGAGGTGGGGAGGGATAGCCTGGGGAGAAATGCCAAATGTGGGTGAAGGGGAGAAGAAAAGCAAAGCACACTGCCATGTGTGTACCTACGCAACTGTCTTGCATGCTCTGCTCATGTACCCCAAAACCTATAATCCAATAAAAAATTAAAAAAAAAAAAAGAAAAAAAACAGACAGTATTCTAGAGGTCTCAAATGTAGAATTAACTAAGAAAAAAAGAAAAATTAGGCTCTAATTTTGCGGAAATTTGGTATAAAGCTAAAGAACTATGACAATTAACAAATATCTGATAAAATCCTTTAAAGTCATCATGACCTTTTTTCCTACTCTCTGTTGAAGTATAGTATGCCATGCAAATATGATTCGTGTTCTTTTCTATGTAATTGTACAGCCCAGTGATGCTTACAGAATGAACACATCCATGAAACCTCACGCAGGACTGGAAATTGAGCATACTCAGTGCTGCGGACTGAACTGCTCCCCACCCCCAAACACACAGACACAAATTCATCTGTTGAAGCCCCATGCCCATTGCTACGGTATTTAGAGATAGGGTCTTTAATTACTAATTAAGGTTAAAAGAGATTATGAGTGGGACTCTAAACTAGCAGGATTGTTAGAAGAGGTGGAAGAGAGACCAGAGATTTTTCTCTTTTTGTGCCCTCAGAAAAAAGATCCCATGGGGACTCAGTCAGAAGGCAATCCAGGGAGAGAGCTCTCACCAGAGACCAAATCAGCTGGAACTTTGGACTTTCCAGACTCCAAAACTGCAAGAAAATAACATTCTGTTGTTTCAGCCACCCCATCTGTGGTATTTTTTTATTGCAGTCTGAGCAGTTAAATACCCCAAGCCCATCAGAAGCCCATCTTGTGCCCTCATTAGATGCATACCTCCCACCTCTGAAGGTACCTGATCTCCTGAGCTCTATCCCCATTAATTAGATTTGTCTGGGTTTGAACCATCTATAAATGGACCCAAGTGGGTATGGGCTCTATCTGTCTCCCTCCTGTTCCCAGCCTCACAGTTGTGAGAGTCAACTGTGCTGTTGTGTATAGTTGTGGTTCATTCATCCTTATAACTGTATAGTATTCCATTGTGTGAATATACCATGTGGGTATCCATCCTAGCATTGGTGGGTGTTTGGAGCTATGATAAATAATGCTGTTATAAATATTACTACAAGTAATGCAGCTATGAACATTCTCATACATGGTTTCCGATGAAGACAAGTATGTATTTCATTTAAGTATATTCCCAAGAGAGGAATTGCTGGGTCATAGGATATATTCATAATCTGTTGCAGTAGATTCTGCTAAAGAGTTTTACAAAGTGGCTGTAAGGATAAACTTTTCACATCCAACCTTTTAAAAAACCCTAAAGGGTGGATGGAGAGGGAAGCTAAAATGATCACATTAAGCTAAGGTGAGGGTTGAAAACTTCTGGATAAAGTATTACAAGTTGGCAAATGAAAAATTTCTATTTAAAACATAAAAAAAATCACATTAACATGGACCATTCATTAACTGTATTCACTAGAGTGGGCCACTCAATTCCCCCAGTACAGAATCTTTAAGTAGCTTATCTCCCCTACATAAAGCAGTCACACCTGTTAGCTATCCAGGAGTGTGGGACAGTGTGGAAAGCAACTAAGAAGAAAATTTTCTTAACTCTCTTCTCTTCAGGGAAGTATATTCTTGAACCTCTTCCTTTTAAATGTTATTGGACCTGTGGAGAGTGGTAGGGGGTCCACTGAATAAAAAGTTACTCATAGGTTGCTAGGTGTCATGGCTCACTCCTGTAATCCCAGCACTTTGGGAGGCTGAGGCGGGCGGATCACAAGGTCTGGAGATCAAGACCATCCTGGCCAACATGGTGAAACCCCATCACTACTAAAAATACAAAAATTAGCTGGGTGTGGTGGCATGAGCCTGTAATCGCAGCTACCCAGGAGGCTGAGGCAGGAGAATTGGCTGGATGCGGGAGGTGGAGATTGCAGTAAGCCGGGATCGTGCCATTGCACTCCAACCTGGTGACAGAGCAAGAGTCTGTCTCAAAAATAAAAAAGATTATTCAAGGTAAATTATGGCCTACAGGAGCTCTCCTGATGGGCTGAATTAAATGAAAATTATCACATTACCGTATTTACCAAAGATTAATTCCATTTTTTTTTTTCAGTTAGAAAACTGGCTGCCCGGCTCTGCAATGCAAAACTCCTTCTGTGTCTTTGCCCAGCCAGTGGGATTCTGCCATTTGGGGCAAGCATATTTTGTTATTACTGCAATTTTGAAATGCTGCCCTCCTTGTACAATAAATTTGTAGTATTCCTTTTATTTTTATTGACAGTTTTGTTTCAGTGCAAGCGTTTCCTTGTTACCAATGGAAAAGCTGTTTCATTACTTGCAGTTTTTGTTTTCCCAGAAGGCAGCACATGGACAGGGGATTTGTAAATAGGTTTAGGGGTCTTTGGATTCCCTGCTGTCTCCTTACAGATGATCCCCACATATGTTCTCACTAGAGGAAACAGGGTGATTCACTCAAAATGTGCATCTCCTACCAGAGTCTTTAGTCAATTATCACCCAAGAATGTAATAAATGCCAATCTGTGTCCAGAGTCCCAAGCCCGGCGCTAAGCTCTGCATATCACCAGGACTATACAAGCTAGCCCAATGACAAAAAAAGAAAAGTGAATTATCTGGAAGGTTTTAAGTTGCTGCTGCTGTGGCTTATTCTTTGAAACAGGGTGGTTCTCCTTTCTAAATCCTTGTCCCCAGTCTGCTGTTATTAATCCAGATACCTTTGACATAGAAGTATTGTGATCAAGTGTTAAGTACTGTGATCAAGAGAAATGTTCAAAGGAAACTGTTTGGAAATGATTTTCTCTATAAAGGGGGGAAACACTGTCTGTTAGGTAACAGGTAACAGATGAACAGGGCACAAGTGATGGATGTAACACGTAAAACCTACAGTCTCAGGCACACCACTCTGCTGTTTACCTACCCATTCACATCAGGGTTTTCGTGCTCTGCTAGCAAAGCATTGCCGCTACCACTGGCTTCTTCAGAGCAATCGCTGAAAAATATGGCAGCCATTCTCACCTTTATTGTTCTACTCATGATCTCCCAGCAAAAAACAAACAGCTGGTAGAATGAAGAACATTCATCCTCTTTCCTATTTTATGAAAAACATAAACTATACATACAGTTTTATAATTTGTTTTGTTTAATGTCTTCTTCCTCTATGGGTGTTTCTTCTTGAAGAAGGAATTTTGAAAAGCTTCTGAGTCTTCTGTTGCATCATCTTCTGTGACACCGCATAATGCAGATGGCCACCACGCCCAGCCAGGGCATGGACACACATCCTCCTGTCTGCTTCAAGGGCCTAATTGTACCATATGTCGAATCCACTGAATAATACAAAGGCCCCCCATGTACCCACTGCTTTTCTATAGCAAATTTGGATGTTTTGCTTTGCTATATTTACTTCAGTGCCTTCCTTCCTTCCTTCCTTCCTTCCTTCCTTCCTTCCTTCCTTCCTTCCTTCCTTCCTTCCTTCCTTCCTTCCTTTCCTTTCCTTCCTTCCTCCCTTCCTCCCTTCCTCCCTCTCTCCCTCCCTCTCTCTCTCTCTCTCTTTCTTTCTTTCTCTCTCTCTCTCTTTCTTAGATGGAGTTTCACTGTTGTTGTCCAGGCTGGAGTGCAATGGCATGATCTCGGCTCACTGCAACCTTTGCCTCCCAGGTTCAAGCGATACTCCTGCCTCAAGCCTCCCAAGTAGCCGGGATTACAGGTATGCGCCACCACACCTGGCTAATTTTGTATTTTTAGTAGAGACAGGGTTTCTCCATGTTAGTCAGGCTGGTCTTGAACTCCCAACCTCAGGTGATCTGCCTGTCTCAGCCTCCCACAGTGCTGGGATTACAGGCATGAGAGCCACCACACTTGCCTACTTCAGTGCTTTTCTAACAAATAAAGTATTAGAAATATAATGGTAGAACCCCAAATATCCCCAAATCTCAGCCCTCTCCCTTATTTTCCACAGATCACTACAACATGAAATTTGATATACTCTATTCCAATTATTTTTGATATTTTACAATGTAAATCTGAATCTAAAGATAATATTGTTTTCATGCTTAAAACATAAAATAAATGACATGCCACTCCTGGTTTTCTTACAGCATTGTCTATCTTGAGATATTAACTCCACCCATTTTAATTACTCTATGGTATGTTATTATATATCCATCACAATTCATTTACTCATGCTTCTATAGATGTATACTTAGGTTATTTTGAGTTTTTGGCAAGAAATAATGCTCATTGCAAGTTGTTATATGCACACCACAAGGTTTTTCTAAGTGTAAACCTAGAAATGGAATAGCTAGGGGGAAGGATAATCTAGTTTATTTGGGGCATAAATTCTAGGATGACAGTGATTTCAATCTTAGCAATTTGGGGATACTACTCCATGGTCTTGTGGATTGTTGCTGATGAAAATTTTGTCTGGTTTTCATTCCTCTTCATTTTTTTTTTTTTTTGGCAATTTCTCTGGTAGTTTTTAAGATTTTCTGTTTGTCCACATTTTCCATTTTATTTTGGTGTATCCAGGTTTAATACCAGTTTTTGTTTTTCCTCACTTATAACTCAGAGTCTTTTCAGTTTGAGTACTTGTGTGTTGTTTTCTTCAGGTCTGGACTATTTTTCAGTCATCAGGGCTTCAAATATGGCTCTCTGCCACTGCCTCAATTTTCTTAGAATGGTCCACCTGTTGACGCTTGTGTCTCCCTTTTATTTTCCATATAGTTCAACTGCCCCTTCATATTCGTTTCTGCTCTTTTCTCTTTTTACTTATGTTGATTTCTGGGTGAATTCATAAGTGTTATTTTTCAATTTACTACTTTTTCTCTGAAACCCTACATCTGTCCCAAGACACCCCCAAGTTTCTACTTTTTTATCTACTAGTCCGAAATTCGAAAGTTACAAAATGGTACACACCAAATATAGCCTTTTCACCTGGCATCTGCCTTCTAGCTATTGGTTCCCCTCCCTCCTAGCATCTATGTTACCATTTATACTCTCTCTATTCAAAGATGTGATATGCATGTATAGTATGTGACATTGCATTATATATGTAATATTTTATACATATATTTATCTATCTACATTCCTAATGGTAGCTTACTATAAACTGTGCTCTGCATCTTTCTTCTTTCACTTAACCATTTACCTTGGGAGTTTTTCTGACGGTTTGAGATAATCTTCCTCATTCATTATGATTGAATAGTGTTTCCTTGGGTGAAGGGGCCATAGGCTGTTTAGTCTGTCTCTCACTGATGGGCAGCTTGATATTTAAAATAACATGCAGTAGTAACCTTGTATTTAAGTTATTATCCATATATGTGAGTATATCTTTAAGGATATGTACCCAGAAGAGAAACTTCTAGGTCAAAGTCTATGTGTATTTTCCAAGAATAAACCCGCACGTATATAGTCAACTCATCTTTGACAAATTTGCTAGGTGTACACAATAAGGAAAGGATACTGTAGTCTCTTCAATGAATGGTGCTGGGAAAACTAGATATTCACATGCAAAAGATTAAATTAGACACTTACCTTACACCATACCTAAATACTACCTTGAAATAGATAAAATACTTAAACATAAGACCTGTAACCATAACATTCCTAGAAGAAAACGGAAAAATCTCCTTGACATTAGCCTTGGCAATGACTTTTTAAATATGACACCAAAATCACAGGCAAAAATAAATAAGTGGAACCACATCAAACCATAAAGCTTTTTCACAGCAAAGGAACTTAATAGAAAGAAAACAAATAACTCAATTTAAAAGTTGGCAAAGGTCCTAAACAGACATTTTTTCCAAAGAAGACGTATGCATGACCAACAGGTATATTTCCCTAATCATCAGGGAAATGTAAATCAAAACAACAATAATATATAATTTTTGTTTGTTAATTATATCTCAATAAAGTTGGAAAAAAACCCAAAATGTGTCATTTTCCTTAGGAAAAGTTTCAACCAAAGACAAAGGCTGTTATTTTAACACAATGCAGGGCACTGCAGAGTCAAATCTAGTCTCTCTCCTGCATACGGATGATCTTGTTTCTTCAACTAGGCTGAAAACCCAAACTGCTAAATAACATTGAAATACATATATACCAAAAAGGAGACGCGTGTCTTTAAATTACTCAGATTATCAGAACAAAAGCACAAAATATAAAAGACCCTCCAGTTTGTGGACCCTTGGTGCAAGTATGCTGTATGTTCTGGAGAGAAAGACTGAGCCTGCAGAGGTGAAGGCTGGGGAGGGGAACTACACCAGGGCTTTCAGCTGCTTTAGATTGGAACAGCCAGTAACAAGGATGGGCAAAAGTGGAGAGATGGAAAAGCTCAAACAGAAGATGTGTCCTGCAAGTTTAAATAAACCAGCTTCAGCCAACAACATGGAAAAACCAACAGACACCAGGCAGGCAGGAAAGGCCAGAGGGCTTCAAAAAATCAGAAGTTGTACTCAAATACATTTTTTTCCTCTTCTCAAAATGCCCATAAGCAGGAGGTACAAGTAAAGTGAATATTCATAAGCATATCTATAAGTAAAGTGAATGAAATTAGGCATAAAGTGAGAATATATGTCAGCCAATGTTGGATCCTTCTAAATATTATGGGGCCATTATGTGGTAGAAATGATTATGTTATAAAGTATGGGAAATGAAGACATTGAGATAGTCTCATTATAAATAAATTATTCTTATGTCATGTTTTAATTTGCATGGCATCATTACTTACATTCTTATCTGATCTAGTTTGCAAATATTTGTAATTTCAATCACACTGCAAAAGTCAAAAGTTGGCCAGGCGTCGTAGCTCATGCCTAGAGTCCCAGTGTGTTGGGAGGCTTAGGCAGGAGGCTCCCATGAGGCCTGGAGTTGGAGGCCAGCCTGGGGATGTAGCAAGACTGTTGTCTTTACAAAAAAAAAAAAAAAAAATTAAAAGTTAGCTAGACGTGGTGGTGTGGGCCTGGAGTCCTAATTCCTCAGGAAGTCAAGGTGGGAAGATCTCTTGAGCTCATGAGTTCAAAGTTTGACTGAGCCATGATCACACTAATGCATTTCAGCCTGGATGACAGAGCAATATCCTGTCTCAAAAATAAGAGTAAAACAAAATAAAAATAAAATAAAGTTTCTTCTAAGGAATGATACTTCATTATCATTCAACTTATGAATTGAGCTAGTAAAGAAGGTTATCAACTTGGATGAATGCTGTACTCTTCTGTTAATCCAATGGAAAAATAGAGATACTCTTTGGTCATGAGAGCTTCAGCTATTATGATCTATTATTATTATTATTTTTTAAATAACCTTCTGAGCCAGGTGCTGTGGCTCATACCTGTAATCCCAGCAATTTTGGAGACTGCGGTGGGTGGATCACAAGATCAGCAGTTCGAGACCAGCCTGGCCAACATGGTGAACGGCCGTCTCTACTATAAATACAAAAATTAGCCAGGCATGGTAGCGCATGTCTGTAATCTCAGCTACTCTGGAGACTGAGGCAAGAGAATTGCTTGAAGCCGGGGTGTGGAGGTTGCACTGAGCCAATATCATGCCACTGCACTCCAGCCTGGGCTACAGAGCAAGACTCCATCTCAAGTAAATAAATAAATAAACTTCTCTTGACCATACAATCCTGTAGCTAAATGATGTTGTGACTTTCACAAACAAAAGCATTGGTCATGCTTGGCGATAACCTAAGAGCCTGTATGTACAGTGGAATGAAAATTTGATATTGCAGTATGAAGTCTTGATTACTCATGACTGCACCACTGAAGGTGCTTAGAATTCATTATGATATTATTATTATTATTATTTGAGATGGAGTTTTGCTCTTGTTACCCAGGCTGGAGTGCAATGGCGTGATCTCGGCTCACGGCAACCTCTGCCTCCTGGGTTCAGGCAATTCTCCTGCCTCAGCCTCCTGAGTAGCTGGGATTACAGGCACGCGCCTGTCCACCATGTCCAGCTAATTTTTTGTGTTTTTAGTAGAGACGGGATTTCACCACGTTGACCAGGATGGTCTCGATCTCTTGACCTCATGATCCACCCGCCTTGGCCTCCCAAAGTGCTGGGATTACAGGCTTGAGCCACCGCACCCGGCCCATTATGATATTATATTAGAGCTGGATAAACCATAGTATTAGAGTTAATTCCTGCACAAAAATTATATTCTTTTTAACCAATTCTGATATTACCTGTCTCCTGCTAGGTTTCTAAGGCTTTACTCATATAACAGAAACAGATACATGTTCAGTTCAAGTTGTCAAATACCCACCATTATGAAAAGTCTTGATTAAAAAAAAAAATTCAACAAGAGAAATGCAGCTGTTGCTGCAGCCATTAGAACAATAGAATTTCTTTGAATGTTCTCTGTAACAACTTTTCCCTTTGAACTCTCACAAGGGGTTAACACTGGGTAATTAGCCCCATTATTTTGCCAGGGTGGTATGGGGCTTTCTGGATATTAAAAATGTCTCCTACTGAACTGTGCCATAGCTGTTGGTGTCTGTTAGCCTCACCAAGCATTTGCCAGATAGATAATCTTCACTCTCAGGAAACACCATCAATAATATATTCGTTGTATTTTCTGTAGATCTCAAAATCCTGGCAGGCAAAAAGTTCACACTTAAGCCAAGTGTTTGGAATTCTAAACCCAATTCCATATAAACATGGTTAAGAGCTTTAAAAAAAATTCTCTCAACTTACAAAACAGAA